CGCCCCCCCCCCCCCCCCCCCTCTAACTTGATGGCGCCCCTGAAAATGTGGCGCCCGGGGAAACCCCCGTGCTACGCCCTGCGTCTAGTGCAGATCAATTGTTGAAAACTATTCTCATTATCGGTTATTATCGATTCATTTGATTCAGCCCTACTTTACATCTTGGCTGGATAGGAAACTGTATAATATTTCAGAGAGGAAACTATTTAATTGAAAATGTATTTCATTTTAGTCTTAAAAGTATGTACAAAGCTCTTCACATTCTTTGTAAATTTGAACACTGTTTGTGGGAGGATAGCCATGGAATTGAGATGGTAAAAACAGGAAAACAGTCTAAGGCCTCTTTCACATGGGCTTATCAGGAGCATGGATTACCTCCTGACCTGAACAGTATAGATCGGATGTCACTGCTGACATCTGTGTATGTCGAGTTTTTTTCCCACGGCTTGCGATGGAGGAAAGAACTAACACTGTTGGGACCCCATGTCAGTCTATGGATGTAAATTGACATGTGTCTGTCCAGACCAGTCTGTCCTGGCCAGAGTTGGGTGTAACCAGGTGCAAACGGACACCGCCTGGAAAACCGTGGCCTAACTGGCAAAATATATTTTCTCCCAATCCCACATTTTAATAATAAAAAAAAAAAAATGTTTTAATCAATGCACGTTTCTCTGTGTATAATTGGTTTTACATTGAAATTTATTTTCTCAGCATGAGAGAATAATGGTAATCTCTGCAGCTACACAGACAAGACATCTTTTAGTAAGGATCACCCATAGGGGCTTGATTTATTACTATGGGGTTGATTTATAGCTCTTTTATATGCTGTGCAGATGCACAGATTCCTATGCCCCTCAGCACCTAGTGGTGGTAGTGCCATGCAAACAGTGTCTGCCCAGCATAATAAAGGTCATAATTCAACCCCATAGTATTCAGTAGAAGGATATTTGAATGCTTGGTGAGCAGACAATTCAGTTTTGTTAAGCTGCCCACACACTTTACAATTTATCTGCAGATTTTCTGTGGTCAGATGGAAAAGGTGCAACAGATTCCTCCATCTACACTTAACTGTGTGGATGTAGTAATCTCCACCTGGGCCAATCTGTTGCACTTTTTCCATCTGACCACAGAAAATCTGCAGATAAATTGTAAGGTGTGTGGGCACCTTTAGAGGAATCAAGGAGACTGTCCTGCCACTAATTGTCTACTAACATATAATATTCACATTCTTTTTTTCTATTATTCTTCATATAGTTACTGCTGCTGTTATTATTTTCTTTTTCATTCTAGCCGAAAAGCGGGAAGTATAAAGGCCAAGGTTTCATCAGAGACGGAACCTGGCTGGAATCTCTATATTGTGAGCACTACACCAACTGTCCAACTCTACAGGGAAATGGTATTTACTCTTTAGTATTATACAAAAATGCCATTAGTTATACCCCAGTTTTAGGGGTTTTGTTTGCATGCAAAGTGCTTCCCTCCACACACACATATCTACGGCAATTCAAAAACAGCTTCAATCAGCTGTAAAGCTGGTCTGAAGAAGCTCAACCGCAGGTCAAATGCACCTGTCAATGAATTATTAATGGTCTCAGAAACATCCCAAACTGGTGCTGAATGCACGCTGTATATGCAGCCCACAGTCCATCAACACTGGCCCTTATTTTAAAACTGTTAGCTGTGTTGAGAAAATATATACTTTTTTCACTGAAAGGGAACTTGTAATATATGCAGCAGATCTAGTTAGAGTGAGGTCTTATCCCCTTATATACATACTTGTTCCAGTTCAGTAAGTATTCACGTTTTTAGGTTATTAGGAGAGCCAGAAAACTGGTATTTCAGCAATGCAAACATGTTATTACTTTCAGTGTAGATTTCTCTTTAGTTCTATTTGGTTGATTTGCAAAAAAATTGGCATAACTTACAAACTCTTAAATAGCAAGAAGATGGCAGTGCCAACAAAGTGGTTTTTTTTTTCTGTTCTGTTGGCAAATACTTTTTTGGGGCTTTAGCTAGGTACCAATAAGGTACCTCTAATGAGGTGTGACTGCTGCTTCTTTCTTAACCCCTTCATGACTGAGGCCCTTTTTTCATTTTTTGCACCCATGTTATATTCCACATTTTAGGCCTGAAAATGACGTAAAACCCCCCAACATTATATATTTTCTGAATGCCAAGACCCTATAGAATAAAATGGTGGTAGTTGAAAATTTTTATGTTGCGCAATATTAGCGCAACTCCTTATTAAACCCCAAAATTTAGTGACAAATTTAATTAAATGCCCCAAAACACAACAAATTACCCATTTTTTTAATGAAATATAAAAGATGAGGTTACAACGAGTAAAACGATACCCAACATGCCCAGTTTACAGATTGCGTGCGACCGTGAAACGGCGAAAAACTGCAGTACCCCAAAAAGTCAATAAAAGACACTTTAAAAGCCCCCACAGGTCATCAATTTAGAGATACCCCAAAATACTGGCCCTAGAATTATTGCTCTCACTCCGGCGTGCAGGGGTACAGGTACTCCTAGAATGAGATCCTAATAGGTTGGACTTGATGGACTAATGTCTTTATTCAACCTCAAATACTATGTAACTATGTAGGTCCCGGCAGTGAAACTGGCAGTCGGAGCTGAAGCATAGCAATCCACTTCAATTCAGAAAATGCCTTGTATTATTTTCAAGGACTACAAGGCATTCTGTGATTAGACAAGTTACATATAAACTTTACAGACTCCCTTTGTCCAGTCACAGAATGACATGTATTGTTTGAGAAAAGAATGCAAGACCTTGGAGGAGCTGCACAGCAGCCTGCTGTGATCGCTGTGCTCCAGCCCCAACCATCAGTTTCACCACTGAAACTTCAGGGGTGACATAACCGTCAGAGGCTGCAGGTAGGTAACATTTTTCAAGAAAGAAGCAGCAGTCACTAATATGGCACACTTCATTAGAGGTACCTTTTAACTACCTCCGGGCCGGCCGTAGTAAAAAAACGGCCGGCCAGGAGCTCTCTCGATCTGAGCGGGCGTCTCTAGACGTCCGCTCAGACACGCCCCCTTGCGGGAAATGGCCGGAACTTAAAAACGGGCAGCGATATAGCTAATAGCCCAGTAAAGGTTTTGCCCACACTTTAGCTTTCTCTCTGTGTGAAGTGGTTACTATACCTGTACTGTTCTGCATTCTACTGCCAGGGAGATGCATGGTTCAGCTGAATGTCATGCTTACTAGGCCATTCTGCAGTCACCACTTTTCTCTTAAAATTCAATGAAACACACAGCTTTATCTCGGGTTTAGTGTAGATCGAGATCCTTATATATGCATGTTAGGAATTCACTAGAAAGCCGTAACAAGAAAATACTGCAAGAATGCTTGGGCTTAGCCGGTCCATAAGTAGATGAGAATCTACATATCAAAAGGAGTAAAGCTGGCCATACTCAATACAATTGGATTGCATAATCTTTGTACAATGTAGATTCGCAAACAACTATGTAATGTAAAAGATTCTACAAGCAAATATGTTTCTCATCCCTAAAACTGAAAAAAAACCAACATTTGAGTAGTGTCGTGATTACCATAGATATTAGGTGCTGTTGCCCAAGTCATAATTTGTTGAGTGATATAAACGATAGTAACTGAAATAAATCATTGATTCTCCTACCTTTCACTAGGTAGAGTACAGTAGAAGATATGAGACCGTGATGACCCAGGGCAGCATCCATCTTCTCAGTGAGGCTCATCTGTTGCTGAGATCTGCACTTATGAATCCAGACTTGGTAAACCTGACAGATAAAGAAGAACTGGAGACAGCGTTCCGAGAGAGTTGCGCCCTCTTAGGGGATTGTTTCAGCAGGTTGGTTCCCCTTTAGTAAATAATAAACTTGCACAGTAGCAGTCACAATTCTCCTTCTAAATATAATTTCAGCTTTTTATATTTGTTTGTTTCTACTTTGAGATTATCCATAAGCTTCATGATGAAAAAAATCATTTAAAACTTAAGTCTAACAAAGAACAGCAATTCAAAATGAGGATGTATACTCAAATGTGAGTGGGATTTGTTATGTAAAGCAGTTAAGAATTCGTTGTAAGTAGCAGCAATAAAAAGGAAAAAAGAAGCATGACTGTAATAAAGCTTCCTGTAAATTGTATACAATTTGTATCCTTCGTGCAGCTAGCAACTTAGATACTTTGGGAAGGCTATGGGAAGCAGATAATGATTCAGTAGTAGAAAGCAAAGCCGTTTAAACCTGTATTGATAATGCTCATTAGTTAAAAGAGAACTATGGGGTAAGTGTTTTTCCCCATAGTTCTCTTTTAGGGTCACGGGAGGACATATACTAGCGTCCTCTCGTGACCCAAAGCTGAGTTTTCATATACTGAGAGCGCCGTAGCCGGGACGGATCCAGACATTACTATGATCCACCCAGCACATGATTGACAGCTGGCTCTGTCTATCTAGAGGTCCTCCCCCTACCCCGTTCGTTCCTCCAGTCAGTGCTGGAGGGTCGGAGAGGGTAGGGGGGAATTCCTGCGGGGAGCGTAACTGACAGACACCGCTCCCTACAGGGAGATGATCGAGAAGTGAGCGGATCGGTGCATGTTTCTGCTCACTTCCCGATCAATAGAGCCGACCTGCGAAAGCTTCTTTGTCACAGGTTGGCTCTAACTATGAGGATGAGTGGAAATCACTCACCTCATAGATCTCATTTAACGCCTTCATGACTGAGCTTGTTTTTTGTTTCTGTTCGTAAATGACTGACGCACTTTTGACATTTTTGCTGTGTGATTCTTCCACGTCAGTAATATACTTTCTTACAAAGTGCACCCACACATATTATATATTGTTTTTTAGAGGACAGATAGGGCTATATATTTATATCACATATGTGTACCTAACGCCTCACTTAGGACAAATAAAATATAAAAAAAGAGGAAAAAACGTAAAGAAAACACTTTTTCCCCAGTTTTGATTTGTAGTATTTTTTACAAAAACAGCACAGCTAAAAAACGTGCAATAAATACATTCATGTATTTGTCCTTTATTTGGAAAAACCTCACAATCCTAGGATTTTAGAAATTTTTCTGTACTTCTCGGCCTAAAACTAAAACCTAACATTTTCATCTTTTTTTTCTCTAAAAGCTAAAAGTGGTCACCTGGCATACAATGTCACCGTACATTTATTTATTTTTTACACTTTTTACCATTTTTTAAAAACTTTTTCATTTTATTTATTTAATTATATCAAGCACTCGTTGGGAATTAATCTCACTATTACTGCTTGATAAATGTAATCAATTAATTTTTTGTTATTATTAGGCTGCTTCAAACTTCAGAACAGCCAATAATAACCTTAGTGACACTGATCCCGCAGCATTTCAGGATCAGCTGTCACTAAAGGTTTTCTGATCGTTGCAACAACGATCAGAAAACTGAAACATTCTTTCAGGAATAGATACATTATGTTTCTATTCTTGAAAGTAAAAAAAAAAACTGTATATGATCGGGATTCCCCGATCTAAACCAGCTGTCAGAGTGCTGGCAAGAGCTGAAAATGCAGCTCTGCTCTCACTCTCAGACACCCGATTTCTGAAGGGGATCAGGTGTCTGATAAAGGTGTTAACTCTTTCATTAATGGATGCTACAATACTGAGGCATCCATTAACCTCCCTGGCGGTATGATTATGTCAGGAATTTTGTACCAAAAGCGGTACAATTTTTGTGCATGGAAATTTGGTGTTATGTATTGTAGGCCTGCAATTCTTAGTAAATCTTAGGAATAACTCACCTAAATCTGTCCAAACAAGAGTCCAGTAGACATCCCAGGTATGATAAAGTTTGAAACACGAAATTAAAAAATTATAATATAATACATTATAAATAAT